CTAGACCCCTATTAGCAATAAGATCACATTATATTCAAATATTATGATGTATAGATTTAGATAAGATTATCCCTGTATTTTAGTTTGTATTTGTTATTCATTGTACTATATATACATCATATATACATGATCACCTTATTGAGGTGAATTGTGGTAATCCTTATATGGTATCGGTTTAGGGTTACGATCCCTTCTCTTCATCTCCAATCATGACAGGCGGCTCCTCTTCCGATACTAGTCTCTCTCTCAACACAATACTTCACATGATCACTGTGAAACTTTCCCCCTCAAATTACCTGATATGGCGCAATCAACCCCTTCTTGCCTACCAAAAACTCTCAAATCACATCCTTGGCACCCCTCCTGTCCCTGCCACGACAATCGTCTCCACTGATGCTGCCACTCCTCCGGTTCTTAATTCGGCCTATGCCAAATGGATTGAAGATGATCAGCGTGTGTTCCTTATCATTCACTCATCCTTGACAGAAACAGCCATGAAGGAAACTATTGGACTCGCAACTGCCTTTGAAGTATGGCAAGACTTGAGCGTTCCTATCGGCATGATTCTCATGAACGTATGCAAACCCTAAGAGACTCCCTTCGATGCCTAAAAAAGGGTAACTCTTATGTCTCTGAATACAGCTCTAAGTTTTCCCCTTTGGAAACCCCGGACCCAGGGATGCTGCCCCCGGACCCCCGACTTGTCGTTGAACCGGCTTCTAATTCGATCTTATACATGTGTCACTCCGCACATACCCATACATATATTAGAGTACAAATTATGAAACTCGTTAGATCACTTGTTAGTTCCAATTACATAAAATGACATGGTGACACTAAAATCATCAATAGTGCACAAAATAACAATTTACAAGACTACAACTAAACAATACCTTTTTGGAATTCAAAACTATTTACATTTATTGACATCACCAATTGCTGGTCAATCATCTTCGTATGATGGATGCTTACGGTTAGGTTACTTGATTCAAAAAGTGAACAAAAAAGTAGAGGAGAAAGAGAAAAAACCCAGAGAGGTTGTGTAATGACCAAATTTTCAAAAGAAATTTTTTTCATTTTTAATTATCCAAAATGTGTGCTCATCATCCACAAAACCAGTTACAATTATTTTCAAAACCATATTCATTACAACTTTATTTCCAAAATATCAGAGTGTCCCATAAAATGTCGGCGAGAGAGTGCACGCCGCACCATCACGCCTTGCCCTTGCCCTTGGGCTCAGATGTACCTGAAACAAATACACAAATTGTAAGCTAATGCTTAGTGAGTCCCCAGAGCATACCCCACACACAAACCACATAACACATATCAAATTAGCTATAAAGATACACATATCACATAAGCAATGCATACAACATATAAGGAAGCACTGGAAACCCTCCAGGGTCATACACCTAATGTCACGGTAACCCCCACGTGGTCTTATCTGCCATGGGAACCCCCATATGGTCTTCTTTCCTTGGGAACCCCCACAAGGTATTCATGCCTTGGGAACCCCCACAAGGTCTTCTTACCAAACAAGACATAATGCAAACTATACAAGTAGATATGTTAGGATGTCATGGAAACCCTCCAAGGTCTTATACCAAGTGCCACGGGAACCCCCACGTGGTCTTTCATGCAAATGTCATACTATCATATCGCCTATTCAATCCACAATCTACATCACATAAAATGGGCCGGCCTTGGTGCCTTAGACCCATTGGTATGGTGAGAAGACTCACCTCAGTCTGCTGAATGCGAAAGTTGCTCTCCTAACAGTCGGTAACCTCCCGTGCTGAATAATAATATTAACCCATGTTAGGACATCATAATCAAAGGGAGAAACCAAAGCCCAAGTCCCTCCATGAAGGCCCAAATATCCTTTCTTTGCTAATGGGCCCAAAGTCCATGTCCAAAAATCATTAATGGGCCTCTTGGCCCAATAAGACCCAATCATAACACCAATGGCCCAAACATATAAAATGGACCACTATTCTCAAAATGCAACCTAGTCCAAAAACCAAATGAGGCCCAACAGTCCAAATGCCCAAAACAGAACCAAGCCCAACTGTGATGCGTACGCTTAGCGTACCATCCTGGTACACGCAGCGTAGTGGGGTTCTGGGGCTTAAGCGCAGCGTACACTGGGTTACGCCCAGCGTACTAACATATTAAGCACTTTTTCCATTAAGTGCTTAATACTAGATTTTTTTACGTCCAGAAGTCAGATCTAACCCTATTAAGACGACTCAAGGCATAAAATTGGCAACTTTATGCCTTTGCATGTCCCATATGCTCCCAACACCCTCATTAAGACCTTTTTAAAGCTCTTAACCCATGCATGAGGTAAAAATACCCACCAAGACTCCATTTTTATGTTAAAAAAGGACTAAGGGACCTCAGATCTGTTATTTCCATCCTTTGGAGTTGCTTAGCTCACAAGAGGAGGTCCAAAACCAACCAAAGGGACAAAACTAGAAAACCCTAGCTAGATCTAGTGATTTAAATGGAAAGTTGCAAGCTTTATACCTCCAGAAGCTCCTCAAGGTCGACAATATGCAGGTTCTTGAAGCCAAGTGACACTCCAAGCTTCCTTGACAACTTCTTCTTCTTGGATGAACACTAAAAGGACCAAAAATGCACTCTTGAAGCTCAAAATGCACTCACAAATGATATTAGGGTTTTCATAGGCGTTTGAAGGTGGAGGAGGCTGTTAAGGGTGAGGCTCAAAAGAGTTAATGGTATTTATATAGGTATCAGGTCCGGATTTTAGGGTTTGAACATCCTGGAACGTACGCCCAGCGTACATGCTACCTCTCCGCAATCCTCCTTGCCAAGTACGCTAAGCGTACTCATAAGTACGCCCAGCGTACTTAAGGGTCTCTTATGATATAAAAGAAATACTTCAAGGGTTACAAGGTTATACCTGATTTGGAGTGTTACAGGTTGTAAATACTTACCATACACTTGGCCTAAAACACGTCATTATTGAAAAGATACAATTAAACACGCTACCTAGATATCAGAGGGAAATATCTGTAGTTATTTACTCCTTTTCTTGATCAATGATGATGGTGAACCAAACTGACACCGCAACCAGACGTCATACAACTACAAAGCATAAAAGTACAACTCAGTAGCTCGATAAATCTAGTAATGAAATGAAGAGAGAACCAGAAGAATCTTGTCCTAATTAAAAATACCTAACAAAATTAATAAAACACAAAAAAAAAATCAAGAACGTTACCTAAGAGACGAAGAAACATAGAGGATTCTTGAACGCGAGGAATGAAAGAAAGAAAAAATGGTGGTGTCCTTAGAAGAAAAAGAGAACATGGTGGTGTGAAAGATGTCCGCTCCAAATAAAAGCTTCTTCTTCTTCTTCTTCTTCTTCTTCTTCTTCAAAGAAACATGTCTCCGACGTAGAACGGTGTTTGGATAGAGCAGCGGGATGAGGGAATGGGAGAAGAGTGAAGGAAGGTATATATTACGCGCCAATACACCGACCCAACCCTTTTGACTTCCCAACTCAAACGACTCTTTTATAAAACCTTTCCAAAATTAACACCTTTCTAAATTACGATACTAACAAAAAAAAACATTTCCATTTATGATTAACCCCCTAACTTTTTACTTTTACTGTTTTAACCCAAACTTTTTATTTTTTATTACGTGATTTTACATTTTGACCTAGTTTTTAGATTTTATTACAAATTTATACCAAACTTCTTTTAGAAAGTTTTTATAACTTTCTTTTTATATGAAATCATTTTTTATTTGTTTACAAATATTTTCTTTTATCTGTGTTTTATGTATTTTTTTAAAGATATTTTGTTTTATAGACTACATTTTTTAATTTATTTTTTATACTTTATAAAAAATAATTTATGCATTCTATTTTATCAAATCGTTTTACAAAATTAATATTTTATAGAAAAAAAAATTACATTTTCACTTTTATACATATATTTTAAGATTTCTTCTGTATTTGTTTAGATATTCGTTCTAAAAATAAAAAATAGCATTTTTATGTTATAATTAATTGTAATCCTACCGAAAATGATGTCTTGTTTGTTATACATACTATATTTTTCGCAATATATTTTTCGCAACCTATACTTGATCACAAGTTTTAAATTTTTTTCAAATATGGTCCAAAACTTTTTTTTTATATAATTTTTCCCAACTTTTTTCTCTTAACTAACATATATTTTTGAAAAAAAAAAATAGCATTTTTATAGAATTTGAAAAAAAAAGTTTTAGACACATTTTTGATAGCAATTTCAGACCAAAAAGGATAATATAAATAGTTTCTAATTAACTTGTCTTTTTACACATACATAAAATTTCCACTGCAACCAACGAAAATACTACTACTAGTATTATACAAATAACTTATTAAATCATGTACTCAAAAATTTGGATTTATCATAGAAAAAGGTTTTGCGACGTAGCTTGTTGTCTGTTTGTCTTCTCATTCGTTGTACTGTGATAACTAGGTTTATTTAAAAATAATAATAATAATAATAATCATCATCATTTATTTATTTATAATGCAACTTAACTCTATATCAATTTGTTTAGTTTCTATTTTTTATAAAAGAACTTGAACTTTTTGATATCTTTATTTATCCATCGTTTGTACTAATGTTTTAGGGTAGAGTGTTAGACATTATTCAAAGAAATTTGTATTTGGCGTGTATTTAAATGTATAATTAAACATATATGTTATTTTGTTTTCTCTAGATATCAACAAAACAAAAAATAAAAATAAAATCAAAAAGCTTATTATTGTGGTCAAATTAAGGAAAAATTTGTTAGATTTGGTATAAAAAATGGTATACAAGATGAAACATTATTAACGACTTTACAATATCGCAAACCTAGAAGCCTCAAAGTTAATTAGTACAAGTTAATTAGTATCCAAAACAAGATACAACTGTATATGCGTTGCGTACACATTAACGATGCATAGCTACTCTTCACTCGACTTGATTTTCCTTTCGAAGAAGCAGTTCCCTTATCCCTTCAACTGAATGGCTACCATTTGAACACACCCACAATTGCACTACCATAAAACCACCTTTGGCTCTCTGGCATCTGCAACAATGGCGACTCTGCAAACTATGGCGTTCTCATCACCGGTCTCTCATTGTTGTAAAAAACCTCAATTTCTTCCAGGTACTTCTTACCTCCAATGGCGCTTCCATTTAGCTCACTCGTCTTTGTAAATTGTAATCAACTAGGGTTAACACGAATCTATAAATTGTAGATTTTCTCTTGTTTGTTGATGAAAAATAGTGGTAGAACTCGATTTTGTATTGTAGCTGATACATTTTCTGTTGTTTGTGCACAGGAATGATATCAGGAGTTGTTTGTCACAGTTCGCGATCTGCATTCACTGGTCAAGCATTAAGCATACCGATTTCAAGGCAAAATCCCAACAGATTGAACAACTGTCGCACATTTACACTCACTATACAGATGGTGAAACCATCAATCCAGTTCATACCAGGTAAAGATGAACAGACGATACCAGACGTGAAGCTAACGAAATCAAGGGATGGGACTAATGGTATGGCGATTTTCAAGTTTGACCAACCATCTGTGTTTGACTCATCTGGTGAAGTTGGAGATATTACTGGTTTTTTCATGATTGATGATGAAGGGACACTCCAGTCAGTTGATGTCAGTGCCAAATTCGTCAATGGAAGACCCGCAGGGATTGAAGCCAAGTATGTGATGCGGACTCCACGAGATTGGGACAGGTTCATGAGGTTCATGGAGCGTTATGCTAATGTCAATGGATTGCAGTTCATCAAAAGCTAAAGGCAATGTATATATCCTACCCTACCTTACCCCACCCCTGTGTTTTTCTTTACTGTAATTAGGTCATCCGAAATGTGACACATTTGAGATATTATGAGTACAATCTACGGATAAAGTTTCAAATTCAATTCTTTTGAGATATTATATCATTCATGGGGTTTTGAATATATTGGCATGGATAATGGAACAATACATTCCTTATATCGAATGTTGTGGATCTTTATCAAATGATAAAGAATCTAGCAATACTTTAAAATAAAATTTGCCTAGGCTAAGGCTGCTGCTACTACATATGATTCTTGTTCTTGTTAGATGACCTTGTGACTAGAATAGGACTTTGGATCTTGATTTTGTCATCCTTCAAGTTCATCCATGTCAACTGCCCTTGACTAAACTTCCCTCTTTTTGACCCTGATGATTTTCTTAAAATCAACCAAACTCTGTAACTCAAACTCTGATTCAAACGTGAGAATGTCAACCTCCTTGGTCTCACACGTACTTTGACTCCTTCTGGTGGAACCACTTTGATTGTGTAAACCGAGTTGGGGTCTCCCACGTTTGTCACACGTCTTTTGATCATCTTACTATTCATCCCGGATCCAAAAACCACAGAAATGGAAGGGTAATTGAGGCTGAAACCCCTGTTCTTCTTCATGATATCATGACAACTCACGTTCCTATGAGTAATGGTGAAAATCTGTGATTTTGTATACCCGATGCCACATAAATGAATGATGTAATCATTTGGACTGATGTCATATATCAATCCAGGTTGTATAGCTCTTTCTGGATTCACATGTCCAGACCCCATAGCAAGAATCCCAGCCGGTTTGTTTCCATCCATGATAGGTTTCCCATAATGATCTGTCGTGTCGGCTGTTGTCATAAGTGCTGACTTAATGGCTGCTGGGCTCCATTTCGGATGTGCGGCCCGTATCAAAGCTGCTAGCCCGCCAACATGAGGGCATGACATAGATGTCCCCGACATCACCGTGAAGTTGACCCTTCTAGAATCTTCCGGAAGCCCCGATGGCCCTAGGTTTTGTGGCCAAGCCGCTAGAATATTAACACCTGGGGCAATAATATCGGGTTTAGGTATCACGGGGTCCATGAAACTTGGACCCCGTGATGAAAACTGAGCCACCGAAGGGGCTCTGGTTTTCCCGATTTCGGTCCCACCAAATATAATCCGGGCCGTTGGTCTTTTTGTAGAGTTTATATAAATCTTCAAATGAACCGATTCTGTGAACCCGATCAATGTCGCGGGTAAAACATGGGCGTCAATGGAGTCTTCCTCCATGTTTATCTCGGTGTTGGCCAGAATCATGGCGGCACCACCAGACTCCTTCACGACCTGCCCTTTCTCCGCCCGCCCGTTGACACCACGATCACAGACCACCATTTTTCCGGCGACTTTATCTCTCGGAAGAGAATCTTGAAAGCAATAATTACTTCCTCTATCTCCGTCATTTAAGTAAACAACTTCTAGAACCTTCTCGGAACCCGGGTGTAGGTTCCCAGGGTACATAGACTCACCATACAGAAACCTTCCATCGCCCATACGAACCACCGCCGGAAACCGCCGGTCAAGTGTGCTGGCACCAACGGTTGCAACCCACGGAGCCACATTGGCCACCGAGTTTGCAATCGGCCCGTTGTTCCCGGCGGCACATATGACGGAAATCTTATGCTCCATGGCCCGGAAACTACCGATTGCAATGCTGTCATCATAAAGCGGAATCGGAAACCCACCGAGAGATAACGAAAGAATGTCTACCCCGTCTCTAATTGCCTCATCCATTGCTGCTAATATATCCGAGCTGTAACACCCGCTAAACCAACACACTTTGTATATCGCGATATGCGACCCGGGTGCCATACCTCTCGCCTCACCCGCCCCGTTCCCGAGGACACTCGCCATCGGGACCGCGGACCCCGCTGCGGTTGACGCGGTGTGGGTCCCGTGCCCGTGGGAGTCTCGGGCAGATAAATATTCGGACACTTCGTTTTCGGTTGGAGTCAATGAAGCGACCCGATGACCTTTGCTGAAAAACCTCGCCCCGATTAGTTTTTTGTTGCAATTGGAAGTGTTAAAGTCGTCTCCAGGTTGGCAAAGGCCTCGCCATTTGGTAGGAACAGGTGGCATTCCTTGGTCGTTGAAGCTCGGGCTTTCGGGCCATACCCCGGTGTCGAGTACACCGATGATGGACCCGCGTCCAAACCCGGATTTGACCCAAGCACCGGTTTTTATTGTTGGGCTCAAGCCCAGGAACTTGTAGGAGTAGGTGGTGTGGAGTTTGTGGACTCGGTCGGGTCGTATTGCGATAACGTGGTGGAGTTTTTGCATGGAGTGTAGCTCGGAGTCTGAGAGCTGGGCTGCAAAACCGTCCATGGCGGATCGATATGAGTATAAGAGACGGGAGGAAGGAGGGTCGGTGATGATTTTTTGGAGAAATGAGAGGTGGAAATGGAGTTTGGATTTGAAAAGGGAGGGTGATAATGACATGGCTTGTGGGTGGAGTTGGATGATGTAGGTTTTGAGGGGTTGGTGATCAGCGGAGGAGGTGGTTTGGGTGGAAAAGATGGAGGATAGTAATAGAATGGAATAATAGAAAAGGAAGATGCTTTTGAATGTTGCCATTGAAGAAGGTGTGGAATGTGTAGAGAAGAAAATGGTGGATTTGGGGGGTATTTATCATTTATGTTATGTGTTGGACTAGGAGGATTGGAGGAATAGAATGGAATTGAAACTGAAGAAGAGAATTCAAATGTCTGAAGGCTCTGAGAAAAAAAGATAAAACTCGTGAAAAATTAAGAGCTCTTCATCACGAGGATCTTTTGTTGCATGGATTAGAGAGAGAGAGAGAGAGAGAGAGAGAGAGAGAGAGAGAGAGTGGGGGTGTCTTGCAGGAGCTTGGTTTTCACGAGATTTTTTTTGGTTTAGTTAATACTTAATACTTAATTACCCGGCCCTTGAACCAAATTTTGGGTAAGGATTAAGGTTATTTTGGTGATTTAACATGCATCTTTAACATAAAAGGATATATAAGGATGCAATAAGTGTAGTAGCCTAGTAGGGGTTTAAGGAAGGATGTTTGTTTGGTTAGTGGTGAGACACATATGTGTAGTACAGTAGTTATTAATGAGGAAAATGGCTCCATCATATTTATTGTTGTACATTTATTTCTCGTCAGGCTCCTAGCAAAGTATTTTTTTTCCTAAAAAAGTAGAATTGGCCAGAATTGGGCTAGTAAGTTACGACTACGAGTGGTTCTGGCTGGGTTCAGACTTCAGATTCAGAAAAACGAGAAATTAAACGGGAACCGGACCAGCATCAATTCTTTTCTTTAGTTTTTTCATATAAAAAAAGAAACTGTTTTTGGTTTTTGGACTTTTAAATGAATTGTTAGAAGCAATTATATGTGCTATTTTCTTCTTTTTGTATTTGTTTTTCGGCTTTTGCTAAGGGGTGAAATATTTTGTATCTCTTCGGCATTGTCTTAAATAGTCTTTTTCAAACAAATGCACATTTTTGCCTATATGGGGCAAGTTTTGTTCTTCTTAGAGATATTACCCTACTACGTTCCTTGCATCGAGCTTTATTTGGACTGTTAACTGCAATAGACGTTAAGTTGTTTGACGATACTCCAATACCAACGGAAAATGATCACAAAGCACGTTTTTGAGTTTTGAGAGATTAAACAAACAAAACTCTATAAAGTGTATATGCATTATTTTCCTAGTTATTTTAAAATATGGAAAGTGTGATGTAGATAAGGTTTCGAGTTTAACTTTGAAATTTTTATCCGATAATTGTTGAAAGATTAGAAAAAAAAAAGTATGATATAACAATTAGATTTTAAGGTCCAAAAAGATAATACTTGGCGCACTTGTTATGATATTCCTTCTACTGTTTATATGGTTTTTAAAAAAAATGTAATACAAAACTGTGGTTTGATACTATAATTAATCATTTATCAAGTATGATGACATATTTTAAGAATTATAGAAGTCAAGGTGTATCTCTCTTATCGACTATTTTTGTCAGTATAGCATCCATAGATATATGTTTGTTTAAAATTAAGTTGCTAAGCAATTACTTTATATTATTAATGTCATAAGAAAATATTACATGGTTTGGCCATTTCACATCATGAAGAGTGAAGACATATTAAATCATGTTGATCTGATACTATTATTATTATTATTATTATTATTATTATTATTATTTAACGGGTGACTAGTGGTTCACCAAATTAAAAGAAATCATCAAGGTCAGCATTAAAACCCGGGATATTTAATTTAAAAGGCAAAACCTCTACCACGTGGATTAGTCTCACATTAAATAAATATTTATCTTTCACAAATTAGTTCAATTTATATTGTAAGTAACTTATTGTTTTTGTTATACATGATTGTTGACAGTTTGATCATAGATATTTTAACGAAGTGTGTATACCTTGAAAAGTTCTAATTCTTTTTTATTGTTGTGAGCCTAATATATATTTGAACCGGTCTAGATTCGGTTCATGTTTGGTCTAGCCGAATGGTTGATGCACGCTCTCATTTTGGGTTTGATTGCTATCAAAACACACACACAAACACACACGCTCGCGCGCACACACATATATTAGTTGTATCTTAGTGACAAGTAATATAATGAAGACTCCAATAAAGACACACGAGATATGATGATACGAACCCATACGGAGGATGCAAGCCCACAAACTACCAAACCATCAGGTGACTATGCAAGGCCCAAAAGGAACACTGAAAGCCTGCAAGGTTCAGAGAATAACAAAGAGCACATGGGCAGAAGAAGTCTCTTAGTTGAATTAGTCAATCCTTAATTTTAAAGTCAGAGTCAGCAGCATGTTTATTTTCCACAAGGTCCATGACCAGTTTGTTCCTAGTCTCCTTTAGTTGCATGCATATTTAAATTGTTTGTAAGTGTCGTTTTTGGTACATGAGTGAAAAACCCCAAAAAATTGCTTCATTCTCTTGTCTTCTTCTTTGGGAGATTTGCCTTCTCGAGCGGGCTTGTATCATATGAGTATCATCAGGGTCTCATGGTTTGAACATTATTCTCAATCAAAACGTTCAAAAGTTCAAACGTCCCAAGACAAACTTTCTATTTATAAATTGACCGACTATGCTTGTAATATAACTGTCGAAAAATGTGTTAAATTTGATTTTTTTAATGGTATCACTAAAGAGAACAATTTGCTTAATATGAAATACTAACATCAAAAAATGTGCTAAATTTGATTTTTTTTTAAATGGTATCACTAAAGAGAACAATTTGCTTAATATGAAATACTAACATCAGCGGCTATGAATGTACTGACGGTCCAACATAGTACCGTAACTTCAAAACATTTGTTGTATCTTAGTGACAAGGTATATTAAGTTCTAAAAAGTGTATTTTGACGCAAGAATTGGTGCAAATGTTGATGTATAAAGACTACTATGATGTGATAGAGAGAGAGCACAAACGTACTCATATTTTGAAGAAAATGCTTAAACGATATGGAAAATTAGATTTTTGAATACAAATTGGAAAGATAGTCAGAAATGTCATCATATATTAACAACACCCACGTCGAAAAAACGAAGGAAGATTTTATTGTTGACAATCAAGAACGTAATCCAAATTACAGACCAAATACATTGTCTAAAACCAGGGCCGTCTCAGATGGTGGTCAACATAAACGAACACCAAGGGCCCATCATTCCAAGGGGCCCCAAAATTTTTGGCCTTAACCAGTAGCAATCACATAGCAAACATTTTTTTCCCATTTCCGAAGCTCAAAATTCGTCAGGTGTCAACTACATTATGAACGAAAAAGGAAATCATTAGAAGTAATAAGTGATTTATAACATTCTAACTTCTTTTTTATCTTAAGCTTAGAGACGAAATTCATAATTTATGAATGATATATGTTCAAGACTATGGCATATGACTCACTTACAATATGTATTATTCATAATTATATCTTTTATGAGCTTAAGTTTATTAATAAGCATGTGCTTTTCGATGCAACATGTTTTTGTCATGATTCAAAACAAATAGCCCCCATGCTTATCAAACCATTCTTATGAATTGATTTATGAAATTAAAATATTGGATATTTATATGGGGCTGTAAACGAACTGAACGAACACGAACACGTGCTTGTTGATGTTCGTTTGTTTAAGTTAGCCGAATAAATGACCGAGTTGTCTTTTTTCATGTTCGTTCGTTTAACAAATTAGATTGTTCATATCCGTTTGTTATGTTCGTGAACATGCTAAACGAGCATAAACAAACGGAGATAAACAAACATAATTGAACATATATGAACATAGCAAACATATAAGATAGTAATGAAATCAAAGACAATTGAATTTATATGAACATAAAAGGAACTTAAATAAACGAACATAAACGAATAACATAAACGAACATTCACAAACATAATTGAATGAATGAGATCATTGTTCATGTTCGTTCGTTTAACTAAACGAACGAGAACTTGTGTTCATGTTCGTTCATTTATTATATAAACAGACTTTCTGCCTAACGGTTTACTAACAATTCATGGGACGTTTGGTTCGTTTACAGTCCTAAATATGTATGGTAAGCATGCAAGTTTTTAATGATATGATTAATTTTGAGTTTCTTCTAAAATCACAAATTTTGTTTATAGTCAACCACCCCATGAGTTGAAAAGGACAAACATTTATATATTACAGTACATCCTTTCTCTTGATGGTAGTTTTATGGTTATTATGTTTATAGTAGAGGTTAACAAGAAACATATAAAGACATTCTTTGTAAGGCATGTAATTATGAATATCAATTAACAAAATATGATGAAGACATTTAGTAAAAGGGAAATCATCTAAGACGATGATCATGCTTATTCGTTTTAAATGCTGATCTTGATATATTATTTGTAATTTCATATCTAAAAGTCAGAAAAAACTATATATAAAAAATTAGTTGATTTTTATTAAGTTTCATTGTTGAAGAAGTATATAAATTAATAATAATAATAATAATGGATTTTTATTATGTTTCATCTTCGAACGACCTTTATGTTTGAAAAGGCCGTGTCTAAAACCAGCACCAACCAAGAATATTACAACCCCGAGCAAGATTATCCATATAGCAACATCTACAATTTTTAAAAATTCCCTATAGATATGTTGTTGCAATGATATGATTTTTTATCTTCCAAATTATGTAAAGTTATTTAATAATTTCTAAGTTTTTATATTATTGAACTTTTATAAGTTAATGTTATGAGATAAAACCTCCCAAAAAGACAATGTGGAGAAAAAACCCGAAATCAAACCAAAGTCTGCAAAATGGAAAGAGGCTATGGACAGCGAGATTCAGTCCATGTATGACAATAAAGTTTGGAACTTGGTTGATAATGTATCGGCTCGTAAGACAGTCGGGTGCAAATGGATCTTTAAAAAGAAAACTGACATGGATGGGAAAGTACACACATATAAGGCGCGACTGATTGCGAAGGGCTTTACTCAAACTCCGGGAGTTGACTATGATGAGACATTCTCACCAGTAGCGAAGATTAAATCTATAAGGGTTATGTTGGCCATAGTTGCATTTCCTGATTATGAAATATGGCAAAT